TTCAAGTGATTTACTACTCAGATTGCATCTGCTTCCCCACTCAGAGGTCTAAGTGGAATCTATGCATGCATAAGCCCCACAAAGTTCAACTGAACTTACTTCTACTTTCCTGGGAATAAGCCTCATTGAATTCAGTAGGGCTTGCTTGTGAGTAGACACACATGAGCTTGCACTGGTTACTGAAAAACACCCTCCCCATCATTCTCCCATTTCACCCAAAGGCAGCCAGCTAAATCTTCTTCCCTCCATCCCCCCCCCCACACACACAGAAGGGCCTCCTCAAAAGCCCTCATCCCACCAATCTCTCTCTTTTTATCAGAGAAAGGGAGGGCAAGCAAGCAAAAAGACAGTTTCCTTTAAATAAAAAAACCCTTCCTTTTTGATATGGAGGAAAGCTATTTAAGGGGGAACCAACAATATAAACACCACCAAAAAATAAAAATGAAAACTTCCATCAGTAGGGGGAGGAGTTTGAGGAAAGAAAGGTGTGCTTTCCAGTTATTTGTTTACTTTTCAGCTGGATCTTTGATTGCTGGATCTTCATTGTCTAGCCATGGGGGGGGGGGGTCCCTCCTGGATTTTTAGCAGGCTCTGCAAAATTAGCTGAGCCCTAAGCGCTATGGGTTAAACCACTGTGCCACCTGGGCTTGCCAATGGAAATGTCAGAGGTTCGAGTCCCAGGGACGGGGTGAGCTCCCATTGTTCAGTCCCAGCTCCTGCCAACCTAGCAGTTTGAAAGCACGCAGTGTACCGCTCCTGCAGGAAGGTAAATGTTGTTTCCGTGCGCTGCTCTGGTTTTGCCAGAAGCTGCTTAGTCATGCTGGCCACATGACCCAGAAAAACTGTGGAAGCAGACGCTGGCCTGTAAAGCGAGATGAGCAACTGGACTTAATTGTCAGTGGTCCCTTTACCCCTTGACCTTTAAGTGGAAAGATACCTGTGAAGATGAAAGAGTTTGCTAGTTTGTGTGAGGGCTTATCATCATTTAGAAGGGAGGAGGGAGAGAGCAAACAAAGCTGGAGAGGTGGTGCTAGCAAATTGTCAAATCCAAACTCTTCTACTCTTCTTCTTATAAGCCAGCAAATGAAATCTGCATTTCCATGCAGAGTCAATCTACTGGACACTAAATAAAGCTAGCCTGGGCCAACAGCTATGAAGAACTTTGCAAATTTCATTTCAATCTCACTTTTGAAATGCATGTTTGTGAGAGAGAGAGGAGAAAAGAAATTACAATAAAAGTTCTCACACTAAAGAAACAAGAGTTTAGCTACAATCACACTCCAAAAATGAAACAGAATTATACTTACTGGAAGTAGTTTGCATTGCAAATTTTTGAATTTGCTGTTTCCACAATCACAGCGGAAGTTTCTAAGAGGGGAAAAAAGAGTTCCGACAGGGCTTTTTTAAGTTTTAGCAACATCAGTTACATCTCAGGAAAGTTACAGATAGGTAGCCGTGTTGGTCTGCCATAGTCAAAACAAAAAAAATTCCTTCCAGTAGCACCTTAAAGACCAACTAAGTTAGTTCTTGGTATGAGCTTTCGTATGCATGCACACTTCTTCAGATACACTGAAACAGAAGTTGCCAGATCCTTCTATATAGTGAGAAGGTGGGGAGGGGAAAGTTAACTTTCTCAGGAAAGTTAACTGTATTCATAAATGGATGAAAAATCTCTACTTCTGACCAGGATCATTCAACCACACCCAAAAAGGTTTTTATCAAAGCAGACATCTGAGTTACAAATTTGATGATTATTATACTATCATGAACAAGATCATGTCATTTTGGTGAGTCTGTAGCACTACTTATTTTGGTTGTGTCTCATTGGAGGCTCATAAACAGCTGCAGCCAAAGGTTTTTCTTTTAAACCTAACATATCCAATATTTTTCTATGTCTGCTAAACCTCAGTAACGTTTTCCTCGCAGTTACAATCCTGAGTTTCAAAGAGTTGTTGTATACACTGGCAGAGGAAGAGGAGTGCGGGGGAGAACACCGCCTCTGGCAGCGCGATCCCGGTGGGGTCCCATCGCAGCTGCCCCCCCGGCCGTGCTGGGCCCCCACAGGTGGCATGCCCCGCCCCCAGGACGCGCCCCAGCCCAGCCCCCACCACTGCTTGTATAAAAGAGTTACAGTGGCAACAAAATGGCAATTCTAGTTTAATAATAATAAATTTTATTTATACCCCGCCCCCCCAGCCAAGACCGGGCTCAGGGCAGCTAACAACCAATGATAAAAACAAGTTGATTGAAATACAACTTAAAAAAATATTAAAATACATTAAAACAATTAAAACATTAAAATGCAGCCTGCATTTAGTTTAGCTGCATTAATGTTGTACAGTAGAGGAAATAAATTGATTTTAGGTATACTACTTTACTATTGCTGGCAACCCTGAGATCACTGGATGGAATAACTGATTTTAGAAGGTTTTACTGTAACTGTTTTTTAAAAAAATTAAACTGATTTATAATGTTCTGGTTTTTAAAACTGTAGATCTGTTTGTCACCCTGGGCTCCTTCAGGGAGTGGGATATAAATTCAATCAATCAGTCAATGTTACCTTTTTGTATACAGCTCAAATAACTTGTGGGTGCCATGACATTCATAACTGCATGCTAAACAGATCCCTGCTGGATCTTCTCCTGGCGGCGTGCACGTACTGCAGGCATACAAGGCTTGCCTCTTTACAGCTCCCTGGAAAAGAGACAGCAGCATAAAAATGGAGATGTTAGGGAATGCCAGTCTGGGAATTTGAAGCTGAGCAAAACTGAATTCTGCGTACAGAAAACAAATCCAGCTTTCATTTTCAAAGGAGATTCTATAATGGCTCCCATGTTCTCAAGTAGCTGTGTCCTACAACTTAGGACTGATTATTCCAGATTCAGCCAACAAGATGTGTCCACATTAGAAATTTCACTTAGGCAGCTAAAATAAGTGGCAGCCAAAAAATGCTGTATACTCAATGCCAAGTTTGTTTCTGAAAAGGGAACAAAAGGACCAGGGTGTTACATGGTGTTGTATAAGTGCACTGCAGTATAAATAAGCTTCCAAATAATCCCATATTTTCATTATCTAGATAACAAGCTACTGATTGGGGGGGGGGTCAGACAAAATAAGCGGAAAGGGACAAAATTGCCCTTGCCTAAGCAACAATAGGAGGCAACCATCATTCACTGCTGTTTTACACAATTCTTCCTTGTTTCACAGGCAATGTATAAGCAGCGTATTTTGATGTTTCAGCTGTTTTCTTCCCTAATGAACAAGGTATATAAAGAGTATCATGCACAGATGGGGATCGCTGTCCAGTGTATTTAGGTGTATGAACCTTAGTCTAAAGCTATCCCAGTTTATTTTCAAACATACCAAGACACCCACACACCCTCCTCCTTGCTTCAGCTATCGCAAGACGGCTTGAGGTTACTGCAAGATACTACCAAGATATGTGACGCCTAACTTTTGTCCAGGAGTATGCCAATATGAGGAAAAACAAGAGATGCAGCCAGATGATCAACAAACTTCAGAATGATCATCACTGGCCAGAATACACTCCTGGAGCAATGAGAATGGAGTTACGTCAAAATCATGAAAAAAAGAGAGTAGGCAAAGGGGGCATTCGTAACTACAATATTAAGTACACTGTACTGTAATCTTTTAGAAGACATTATTAAGATTCCAATGACCATTCCATGCCCTTCATTTCGTTTAACCACACTAAAGTCTGATTACAATGGGACCAGAAGAACAAACCAAAGTATGGAGAAAAGATCCCCCGTGACTGGTTGCCCTGCAAAAGAAAACTATTGCTCCACAAGACCTTTTTTCGGGTGTAAAAGCCTAGCTACCTTTTCCATATACGCATTATGCTCTTTGGCTTTATAATCCATGCACATCTGTTAACACAGTCCTATCCCATCCACCTTTCCAAACAGGGTTTTAAAAAGTACAAGGGAAACTAACAAAAGCACGAGGTCAGCTAAAGAGAAAAACACCAAGACGTTCGGCCGCTGTTGAATGGAGCTCGGCTGCCGCGTTGCCATCTTGTTGACCACTGCGGATGCGTTTCTACGGATTATTTTTTAAAATTGCATTATAGGGTTTACGCTGCACTTGCGAGGCTCTTGTTTATTGTTTGTCAGCCACTTTGGGATTCATTTGAGCGGAAAGTCCATGAATCTTTAGTAGGCTGAGCAGAGTGGCTGGGCAAACCCAGCCAGATGGGCGGAGTATAAACAATAAAATAAATAAATAAATAATAATAATAATAATATGATGATGATGATGATGAAGGAGCGGAGTTACTTCAAATAATGACTAACGAAATAAACAGAAGCGCCCACCCGAGCTCAGGCATTCCTCTTTCCTTCTGCCCCCGCTTCCCCTCGCCCCCCAACCCCCTCAACCGCCCCTCCTTCCCACCCCCAAGCCCCTCAGGGGCTGCAAAGGGAAGTCCCACCTGGCGGGGCCCCGCCCCTCTCTCCTCGCCCCCGCGGGGCTCACCTGAGAGTAGCTGCAGCGCTCGTGGTCGCTCCCGCCCAGCACGGCGCGCGCCTCCTTCTCGAGCTCCTCGCTCTCGGCCAGCACCTCGGCTAGCGACACCACGGGCTCCTCCGCGCTCCTCTCGCCTTCTTCGCCCTCGTCGCCAGGTAGGCCGGCGCCAGACGCCGCCGCCTCTTTCTCCATCCTCAACTAACGCACGCAGCTCCCTTTCCCTCCCTGGTCGGTGAAGGGGAGGAGGGGGAGGAAAAGGCGGGAAAACGCCAAACCGCCACCAGAGAGCGCCCGGCGCACGCCGGAAGCGGAAAGAGAGGGGTCCGCTGTCCTGCGCCGCCGCCACCCAGACGCTACGAGATAAAAGGCGCTCGGTGGGGAAGAGCAGGAAGGAGAGGTAGGGCGTGGGGGGTGGGAGGGAGGTTCACGCGACGCCAACGAGGCCCACGTGAGCTCCAGGAGCCAATCACAAAAGGGGGAGGAGACGAAGGCGGGAGGAGAAGACAATGAAACGGCTCGTAAGCAGTTGAGTGAGGCGCGTGCGCCGGGTAGGCGGGGCCAAGAGTGGCGGTTGGAAAAGCCGCCTCCTCGGTTAGGGATTGGCTGCCTGTTTCCAGGGCGGGGGAAAGGCAGAAGGGAAGCGGAGCGATGGAGTTGCGGGCGGAATTGACGGGCCGCGACGGGCTGAAGCGGCCGCTGATGGTCCGCTGCGAGCCGCCGGGAGAGTTGCGGGGCCTGCTCAGCGGCCTAGCTCAGCTGCGGGAACAGGTCTCCGCGCTGCTTGGCCCCCTGGTGCAGCAGGAGAGCGGCGCCGGCGACCGAGCCGGGCCTGGAGGTGAGGAGGCCCCGGACTCGGCCACGAGTTCCCGCCTCGCCCGAGAGGAGAGGAAAGAGGCCTCGTCCTGCTTCCTAGGAACCAAGTGCCCCTTTGGGTACTTGGAACTCAGCAGCAGGTGGAGCCTCCTCAGATGCCACAACAAAGCCTTTCGGTTCTTATTTTGGCTATTTTGAATTTACTGACATGTCTCTATGTTTGTATTTGTATATTTGTCCTTTGTTTTGAATGTCTGGGCACAGCTCGTTGTGAGAAAGAGTCATAGAAATAAAATGAGTGAAAGGGCAATGGGTCACTCGGTTGGTTGGAGCGTGGTGCTGATAACGCCAAGGTTGCAGGTTCAGGGCCTGTAATGGGACAGCTGCATATTCCTGCATTGCAGGGGGTTGGACGAGATGATCCTCAGGGTCCCTTCCAACTCTACAATTCTATGACTTTGTGCAATCAAAAAAATAAAAATGTAGAATAGGCATAATTACCTAATTTGATGTCGCTGGGTTTACCCTGAGCTTTAACTTCAATACCATTTGAGAATTCCAATAGAGTCTACACCACTTTATTCTCAACATGTAATTCTGCATGTGCAGACCAGGTCTATGCTAATATACCTCTTGTATGATCTGATGAGGACCTAAAGCTTTGGACTACAGTTACCATAGTCTTCGAAAACTGTCTTATCAGTGGGGTTGATCAGAGTTGTAGTCCAATATCTGGTGGGCCACACAAGTTTCCCATCCATTGTATACGAACACTTTGCATACACATTCCTAACTCTTGAACATGCCTCTTGCAAAAGTACACTCAAATGCTAGTATCTCTTATTATACCCAGTTCAAGCAACACCAAAATAAAAAAAAACTAAAATTTGAAAATCATAGAACTGTAGAGTTGCATGGGGCTACAAAGCTCATCTAGTCCAGCCCCCTGCTATGCAGGAATCTTTCACCCAATGTGGGGCTCAAACCCACAACCATGGGACTAAGAGTCATGCTCTACCAACTGAGCTCATAAAATGTTAAACTCAGCAAATGGAATGAGAAGTTAAGTGTAGGCATTCATGGGGAAATAGTTTAGCTGTCTTAGCAGATTTCATATGAAATCTTTTTCTTTTAGGTGATGATGATGATGATGATGAACAGGATGATGATGAAGAAGAAAATCATGTTATTGCCAAAGCATGTGCTGATGGACCACCATTAAAACGGATAAAAACACAGTCCTGATGAAAACTACAAACATTTTTCTACTGAATTTGAGTTTAATCATATACACACTTTCCCTCTGGGAAAATTTCTGGGATGTTTTGTTAAAACACAGTCCTGATGAAAACTGCAGGTTTTTTTCTACGGAATATGAGTTTTGTTTTCTAGACACTTCCCTCCTGAGGAAACTTCTGGGCTACTTTTTAAACTAGAAATGCACTGTCCTTTTTATTATTTACCATTACCACACATCAAAAGGGAAGCTTATTTGTGGAGTATTATGTGAAATACTGAAGCAACCAAGTAAAAGACCATGTATATAAGAAAGAATTATCTCCCTTCTCTGAGGGGAAAGGACCAGTAGCGGTATTGAAATAAATTAGAAAGAGTTGTTTATTTTCATTACTATCTTCATAAATAAACTGGGAGTAGAAAGTAAGGAAGTAATAGAGGGGAAAGATTGTTAAAAGAGAAAGAAGTCAATGTAAAAAGAGCAGGCAGGAGGAATGGAAGTAATGACACTTCGGAGCAGGAAGAGGAAATAAGGTATGAACATGAAAGAAGAACGGGAGAAGAAATTATGAGTAAAAAATATTTTGCGATATATGGGGTGGGAAGGGAGGAAATAGAAAAGAGCCTCTTCTATTTTAAGTCACTTAGAGCAAATTCTTCCTGGAATGGGGAAGCTGAATCACAGTATCTCCAGTAGCTGCACTTAGCTTGAGAAAAGTTGAACTATAGAATTCATTTCCAGTAGGAAACTGCTGTAGCAAAGAATCTAGCAATTTCCCAAGATGGATTAAATACCAATAGAAAATGGTGTCCACAATTGCCAGCTGATTGTGCTAAACTGCCTGCATATCCTAATCCTCTCATTGAAGTGATAAAAAAAATTAAAACTTATTAACAATTCTAGTAACGACAAAAGTGATGCCAACTAAGATCGATCTCTGAAGGCTTTCTGAAAGAATAAAGTATTCAGTGGAGGCTGAAAAGACAAGCAAGATGGTACATGTGTAACAGTCAACAGGCTTATATGACTGGTTCTGTCCCTGCACCTCCATTTTGGCAGCTTTGTTTAGGAAAGTTTTTAATGTTTGATGTTTTATCGTGTTTGTTGGGAGCTGCTCAGAGTGGCCGGGGAAGCCTAGCCATATGGGCGGGATATAAATTATTATTATTTGTCACTGATGGGCCTCAGTAATTGTCACCTTTTAATTGAGCCCTGGGAGTAGAGAGTTTTGAGAACCTCCTGTCTTAAGGACAACTTCTAATGTGACATTTGTCTATGGCATTACCTAAGAATGAAAGACCATGAGAATTTTACATTTCAATAATACTTTTAAGTTCTTTCTGTGGTAGATTTTTAAAAAATTAAATTAAGTATCCCTTTAAAAGAGCCTGGGGCAGAACAATAACTCAAAAATTATTCAAACAAACGTATCAAAGACTACACTTGTAATCTATGACTAAATCAAATACATTTAAAGATGTTTCCCGTGTAAATAAACAGTTGGAGACAAAGAAAATGTGCCTGGGCGTGTGCATCAAGCATTCACAATACAACGAAGTAGAATATATCATGAACTGTGTTCGTTTATATGCTGTCAAAGTATTTACTTTCCATGACATGCATTAAATCTGCTGTCACTCAGATACAATGCTAGCTACTGTTGAGTATTACACAAATATGCTTCATGCCAGTCACCTTCCTCTCTGGAAGATGGGATTAAATGCTTTTGCTTCTGTTTCTATACAACAGTTTAACATTATGTCTGAACCTAGGCAAAGCTATGGTTTACCGAAAGAAGCCAACTTCAACCTGGCTTATAAAATCTTGTTTCAATAAACCATAATTAAAATCAATCACAGTGCAGGGTTTGGACATAACCTTAAATTGGGATGCCAATCATTTTGGACCAGTATGCAAGTGCTGCGGGTGCCACTCTCAAAATGGCTGCCATGGGGACATGCTACTCCCCACATCCTGGCCAAATTCCCGCTTGCTGTGGGAAGTCAACTGTGTCATGCTGGTCCTCATTGTGGAGAACACACAATATTGATTCCACACAAATACCATGATTTTGTTGCTATCTAGTAACAGGAAGTCTTCCCCAGTACCAAGAAAAATATCTAAGATGGACACAGCATGCTTGAGCATTCCTCCATCCCACAAATTCCCAAAAGCCCCTCCACAGGTTAAGAAAGTACCTATCAGTTAAGAAAAAACCCTTTCCCCTCAAAACACATGGATCACCACCCTGGCACCCATGGGCATTGGGTCTTTACATACATAAAAACAGACAAATTATGTATAAAAGCGTGTCAATTGTTTATGATCCTTGATAGCATAAAGGCTCTATTGAGTTGTAGCAACCAATTAGTAGACCAGTTGTCTAACGAGGCACTGGCTTGTAACCAAGAAAGTAATGATTTGGTGCAGTTCAAAAGAATCTGGACAGTAATTTATAAGACTCTTGTGTGAATGTTCCAGCAAGGGATTTGTTTTTGCATTGACAAGGAAAAAAAGTTGGCTCAAACAGGCCAAGGGGTGGACTTTGCTTTCCTCCTGCCTGGCTCCAGGGACGCCTGGCTAATAAGGGGAATCTGTTCTGGGAGAGAATTAACCTACCATCCCAAAGTGTTTCTCACAGTTCAGATTATATAGGTTGGGTGGCTTAGTATTACTCAGTGTAGAAATAAAATAACTTCAGTGAAGAAGTGATATATAAATAGCTCAAAAATACTAGTCTTCAAATCCATCACAAAAGCTGTCAAGAATCTGCAATGGACGATAGAGGTAGCACTGGTCAACGTTAATGCAAAGGTTGCTTAAATTAAAGCTGAGCTTCCAGTTGCCTTGCAGTCACACCTTGTTTCTAAGAGGCATGAGTGCTTCCATTTGGGCTATTGGGCATTTCTTATGTCTCAGTGAAGTAGCAACCAAGTTTATTAGATGCTGGGGCCTGGATTTTCTCACCAGACTACTGTATGTTCCATAAAACAAGTATGACTGCCATGTTCAGTAAGCCAATAGCAAGATTAAACAGATTCAAGATGGCCCACCTGACAAAACAGCACTCATTTGACACAGTCCATGTTCATGGATGGTATTACTAGCATGTAGGTGCTATAACAAAGATGAAGCAAGAACCTTTTAAAAGTTATGCCTGTGATGAACTGGCTGCTGCATATGGGAGTTGTATTTAATGGAACAATTTTTACAAGCACACTTATAGTGACTGCAGGCTTAATTTTCTAACTGCTCTACTATTCAGAGGAGCTGATTTCATGTGAAATGTATGAAGCAGCAATATTAAAGGGCAAAGTCCACAGAAATGAAAACATTGTTCCTGTTACATCCAAATCAGGTCCACACGAAATCCAATTTAGAAAACACTTTTTTCCCTGGAAATCCTTAGCGTCACATATCACTCTAATAAATACCAGCCAGAAAATGCCATACATTTCTGACTGTGCAATGAGTTGCACTGCATATAAACTCTATATACTAACCTAATTTTTCCCTAAAATTGTAGAAAATGTGGGGGAAATATTGAGTTGGACAGAAATGGGGAATGTGCCTGACTTGGTCCACAAATTCAAAACCCTTCATTCTTGCTTACTTGAATGGCTACCTAGCTACACTGAACTTTAGGTACACAATTGATCCAAGCAGCCACAATGGATGCAACAGAGATATACAGTCATCCAATATTTCCCTGTTCAGCTGTAGACAGAAGAATTTGATCTGCCTAGACAGCCAAAAACAAGATTTTACTAGTGAACTGCGCATATATATAATGGGCGAGTAGACAGGGAGGTTCAAATGTCTTTCTACTAATCTGTGAGAAGTCATGAAATTAATTTCTTGGGACTTGTTGCTAGTAAAATACTCATTTTTATACCAAATGAAATGAATAGCCTTCTCTGGTTTGATAGAAACCAGGCCACAGGAGGATGCTAAAGTAAATCATCTCAGCTGCAGTTAACTGCATTTTCCCTCAGATGCCATGCAATTAGAAGGACAACTAGTATATCTGAAGTACTTTACTAAAAGTGGGGGGGGGGGGAGACTTAGATCATGCAGATATCTATACTCACATTGAGCAAATAATGTAGATAAAACGGCTTCTGCTGAAACATTTACATTATAAAACTACTTTCTGTATTAGCAAATACTGAGAATTTTCTACTTGGTAAATTGGTGTTGGTTTCTGGGTTTATTACTGTGGTCTGGATGTTGGTTTTAATGTTTGATGGTTGTTTTATTGGATAGAGCAATGTTCATAATAGAATGAACATTGAATTACTATGTTTTAATTGCTGAGCGCTGCTGGGAGGAAAATGCAGTGAGTGCCATAATTTCCTAACACATGAACAGCAACTAATTGTCAGTTCACATGCATTTTAAACTGAGAGCGGCTCTCTCTGTCTCTTTCCCCTCTCACACACTGCCTTCATATTTGACATATAGCACATGCTGCATTTTTGTTCCCATATATGGAAAATTAGTTTCTGAAGAACTGGCCTAACAACTTACACTGAACTAGAAGTCAAAAAAACAATAAATGAACAAAGGGCTCATTTTCTTTTAGTCATGTGTGTGAACGAAGCCCTGTTTTATTGAGTGCAACATTATTTAAGGAAAAAGCACAATATCTTAAATGCGAGTTTATGATCATTCCAAACTTTACAGATTATAACAAAGGAAAAGTCTGTTTTCACTGATCCTTCTCCTGAGGGAAGCTTGAAGATAAAAGGGGGGGTGCACAGTGAAATAAGGTTTCAAATAGGTTTTCTCCACAAAAACTTCAGGAGTGTAGAAATTCTGCATTATAAGGCAAATATGAAGAATGTCATCTCGAGTCTCAAAGAAAGCTCAGTTATTCCACCAAATAGAATGCATCCATACTCAAAGTCAACTTATTCAAAAAATAGGTTGATGCTCTATTCAGTAGTTAACGTGGAGAAAAAGAATTTCACATTCCATTTGTATGTTCAATTGATGCAGCCAAGATCCTTCAGGTTATCTAAAAGCGTTCATCGGGAAACGCAGATGGGTTTAAGTGTCAATCAGTTGCAATCTGCTAATTTGGTTGGAGGCCTTCGCAAATGTTTGGTGACGATTGCAAACGACAGCCAGGCAAATCGGAATAATACAGTAGCCCACTGTTTTGGGATCAGCTCTTGTACAGGAATAAAGGAACAGGAACATTTGTAAATAAGGGATCAAGAAGATAATAGTCCACAGCCAAAAGGGTACGGACAGCAGCCGTGTTTTTAAGGAGTGCATCCAGGTCGTTTCTTCTCTCAGTTTTTCAGGAGGTTGCTGGATGTGCTCCAGTGCTAGTCTGTTGTAAGTCTCATTGATTTCAAAGACATAGTAAAATGCTGCCGCACTTGCGATTAAGTATAATCCCACACCAATCCATCCCATCCTCTGACGGAAGTTCATCATTCTCCATGCTCTGAACCTTAAAAAAAGGAAAAAGATAATCAAAGCACTTAAAGAAATATCAGCTTGTCATGTTACAGGATACGATTTTCTAAGTGTAGCTGAAGTGCTACTGGGCAAATGCTGTTTCTGCTCCCCCCCCCCAAAAAAAATCTCTCAGTAGATGTCAGTAGGAAATGTAATGTGCAAAGTGCTAAAGACAGGGTGTTAAATTTTCAGCAGAAGTGAAAGAGAGGATGAGATGGTTGGTTTTGAAGACTGATCCCAAGTGGATGTAAGCTGCAATCTTCAAAGATTTATTCTACAGTGCAGCCAATTTAATTTTACTTATTAATCAGGTTTTTATCCCGCCATGTTAGGCTACATTATTCCCCAACATTCCAGTTTAATCAAGGGGGCTGGGTGTGCAAGATGGTAAGTGGGTGGTGACCCCCTCCCTCAATAGATAAAGTCAGGATTTAGAGGAGAGAGGTTAGGGAGGGTATTGTGGCAGAGAAGCAAAGCAGCAAGCTGGAAAACCAGAGAGGCAGAGCAGTGGTTGGCTTCTGTTCAAAACCAGGGCTGTGGCTATGGGAGAAGAAAGACCCTCTTGGGGTGCTGAAGCTGCGGACCCCTCCATCGTAGGCTCAGACTAAGTAACTGTGTAAATAAACCATATATCATAAAGACAACACAGTCTTCACTGTGCCTCATTTCTGAAAGGAAACAAACCCTAGGTAAGTGCCTGGAAATGATGGAATCTTGCACCACACAGAGATTGGGGTGGCAATACAACAATATTAAACACTGTTAGCATTGGCCAGCAGTGGTTCTCCAGGATTTCAGGAAGAAACTTCTCCAAGCCCTACCTAGAAATGCTGGAACTGAACCTGGAACCGACTGCATGCAGAACAGATGCCCTGCTCCCTGAGCTAAACCCCTTCACAAAAACCTGAGAGTTAGCAGCCAACCACAAACTTGACAGTTTCAGTAGCAATGTTCGCTCTTTACCAAGTGGAAAAGGGAGGAAGAATTGGTGTAGGCGTCCTTTGAGAAAACCGAGTGGGAAGCAAAAGCCTGTGTACAGAGGTTGTGACACTGGCCCTCCGGTCCAGACAGTTAACACAAGTGGGGAGGAGCTAGGAGAGATGTGAAAACCAAGGGGGAAAGCCATGCCCCCACCCCACTCCCATTCCCCCCCCCCCGTTTTCCTCTGGGCCTTCACACCTCTGGGAACTTGGAGCCTAAACTTATGCATCTTGTTCTGATGGAGCGGGGCGGATAATACCATGTACGAGAGTGTGTGCTCCCTTTTGAAGAGTACCATAGATACAGCAGCTGTATTCCTTAACTGTCACTTTATGAGAGTTGCATAAATCTCAAAGTTGTATAAATATCACTTATGAGATTTAAAACGGGCTTACATGGCTTTCAGTAAACATCTGCAGTCAAGAGCATGCACCCCTCCAAAAAATCCATGTACATCAGGGATGGGGAACCACATGCCCCTTAGGGCCTTATTATCTGGCCCTGGAAGTCTCCCCGGGTCACATATACCCTCTGTATTCCTAAGCCACACCCTCCTCGAGTGTTTGGCATGGCTGGAATGTGTCCTACTGCTTCTTGTTTCTCTGGATAGAGGAGGGGCGTGTGCGCAAGCACAAAGAAACTGGCTTACCACTCAAGAGTTAAGATTTACATTTTTTTGCTCTGCTCACTTTTACTTTTGGCTTTGCCCGCCACTGGCATGTGGCCCTTGAAAGGTTGCCTAGAAGGAAATGGGGTCCTTGGGCTGCAAAAGGTTCCCTGACGCTGATGGGCATGCCTACAAGTGAATGAAGATCTCCAGTTGTTTTTGGACTACAATTCCTGTCATCCCTGACCACTGGCCCTGCTGGCATTAATAAACTACCAACATCATCAACAGTTTTTTAAGTCAGGGCAATACTTGTTCCTATCCAGCCAACATGGCTCCATGGAGCCCCTCAGGGCAAATCTTTCATCACTTCATTGAATCATTGCAATCACAAAAACCACAGCAACTCTATCTTTGTAGCGTGTGGTTCTCAACAGTCTTTCCACGCCTAAGTGCCTGATCCCGTATTGTGGCTGCTCACATGTAGAAGAAACAGACTACTGGGCTAGTGCTTTGAACCTTAATGGTTTTAGGCTGGTAGTTACCCAGAAAAATCTGTTTTCTTGGCTAAGTACAGTACTGTTAAGAAGGAAGTTTAAAACTGTTCTCCATTCTGCTGTGTGCTTCCTCCTCTTGCTTTCTGATTCTCAAAATACCACACTAGACTTCCAAGTTTATCCAGTCTTCTGCAAAAATGACAGACCAATGAAGTTTGATGCCTGTGATAAGAACAGTCTACCAATTACCTCCTTCCCCAAGAAGAACAAGTTGCAACTTTTCCTTTCTCATTTTTGACTGAAAGAGGAACAAGTAGCAGGGAGACATTCTGGCTGGTCCCTAAGCCTGCAACAAAAGCAGGATTTATTGTAGCTAGAAGATATCCCTGGTGCAAGGTTATCTCATTTAATTTCATCTTCTGACCTAGACACAAAGAACTGGACTGCATCAGACAAGAAAAGCAAAATGCCCACTGTAACATGTGCTTGAAATAGTTACTGTTTGAGGGGGCAGAGAAGGAAAGAGGAAGGGGAAACCATCCATTATGATCAGTTGTTTGATGACTAGAAGTTTCTTCTGACCTTTCTTGGGAGCGAGGGGGGAATGACACGCCTGTCTGAGAAGCAGGGAAACTATCTGTGTAAAGTCCCAATTTGGACATGCGGTGGTATTCAACTTAGTTTTACTCACTGAAATCAATTGACCCAACTTAGTGGTGTTCATTAATTCCAGTGAATCTACTTGGGGTAAAACTTAGTTGAATACCACCCAGAAAGAGCTGTGAGCTTTGCTAAAACTGAAGCACACTTGGCATTCAGTCTGCTGAATTTTTATTACTCTTAAAACTTCTATGCCTTTGAGGCCAACACCTTTCTCAAAGCGGTTTACATGAAGTGAAACCATGATCATAATAAAACACAATTAGAAAGCACAAACATGGAAGGTAACAGTCCACAACACAGAACCGCATCTAAGGAAATGCAGCAAAAAACCTGCAGGTATACAAAGGTATTCATCGACCAATGGGAGGGGATGGCTGAACCTCCAGAGCAGGCAAGACATTCCATAATGTAGCTGGGGACACAAAAATATTAACACACACACCACAGAAAATTATTAGAACTTAACTCCCTACCTGTCAAATACATTATAAGGGGGAAATATTTAATACATCATAAAATAACTCGTTGATTAAAACAAGCTAAGAATAGCAAAACGATAATATTTGTCAACTAACACAAATAACAAAAACTCCCTAAGTCTCCATCCAAAATGAAACTACTGTAAACTCTGTAGTGCAGCTCACTTCTTGCTCTTCAGTATAATGGCAACCCCGAAACAAGATTAGCAGCCTTGTTGCCAGTTTAGGAGTCTGCTTGTATACGGTGGTACCTCGGTTTAAGAACAGTCCTGTTTACGAACGATTCAGTTTACGAACTCTGCAAAACCTGAAGTAGTGTCCCGGTTTGCGAACTTTACCTCAGTCTAAGAACGGAATCCAAACGGTAGGGCACTGGCGGCAAGAGGCCTCATTAGGGAAAGTGCATCTCAGTTTAAGAACGGTTTCGGTTTAATTCCAGAACGGATTAAGTTCGTAAACCGAGGTACCACTGTATTTGTAAATGTGCATATCACAAAGGCCCCATAGATCTTCAGTGCTCCATCTTATCGAAGGGAAACTAAAGTCCAGGGGCAGAGTTATACAGTTATGACCACTCAGGAAAGTAGAGAACATTAAGCAACACAGTTTTTCAACTTATCTGTACTTGAAATACAGAATTATCTTTTAACAATTGTAAGCTGCAGAACTTGTTTTACCAATAATCTACACCACCTATCCCCTCTCACCACAAAAGTGACATACAACTGCCAGCTAATAATCATGTGACTGTCATTATCATTCATTGCTGCCTGATCATGAGATCTACAAGCACATTTTAGTCAGAAAAATAATATGTAGAACCAACCTTCCCCTCAACCACTGGCCGTCCCCAAATCTTTAGGAATAAGCAACAGGACTGAGCAACTACCAACACGCTAAAGGTTGCCTGTTGCCTACAGTATAAAGTCAATTCCCATATTTGAGAATTCCCTGCCAGATCTTTGTAAATGTCAAAACCAAAAGTCTTTTTAGAACCTTGTTTTTCAAACCATGACCACAATGAACTTGGAGCCACGAATATGCAGCCAGCTTTTTGCGACTAAATGTTTTTGAACTCTTCCTTTTTAAAGGGTTAAAGATAGTGTATGGGCAATAATCAAAGCAGGCCTGGTAGCATTTTGGAAGATGTTTTAATTGTTTTAGTTCTGGATTTCTTGGGAGGGCAGATCTATCAACGGCTATTAGCAACAATAGCTGTGACGCCACTATCTTCCCATGTGTCTTATTTATTTAGACCTGCTAAAGGATCTCATTACCAAAGTGAACACTGTTAACACAAGATGATCCAGTGAAAGTTCACTTTGGCCATCCTTGCTCTGCAGTCACCAGCCCAGAACACAACACATTATGAAACCTGTCCATCAGGCCTCTTTCAGTTATGCTTGCATAGCTGCAAAGACCTTTTACAATTTTGCAAAAAATGTTGTTTCAAGGGCAATTCTGAAGCACAACTAATTAAAGAAATATACTGGGAACTCAGGCACGTCATGAGTTGCAGTGCACGTCATGCCAGTTTTATCTGCATAGCAATTCTAGGCATACAATACATCTTTCAGTTGCAAAGGTTGCTATAGGAATGAGAAACACATTTAAAAGGCAGCATTTCAGATAGGTCACAATGAGAAATTCATTTATGTGCATGATGCTATTTAGTGCAACCTGTGGCAACTTGTTTATCACAGTGTGGAAATGGTATACTGCAGCAGCCGAATTTGGAAACTCAACTTAGCCACACTGACTAGAGCTGAAGTGAGCAGGATTCAGTCCTTGCATGGTACACTTTTCTTTCTCTACTAGAAACTTTGTCTTGCTAGTATTGTTATTATTAATCTCTTTCCATGCATGTCCCATGTACAAAAGGTAACAAAACAGTTACAGAACAGTTGAAAAAGTAACAGATGAGTTCTAAAAAATACATAAGGACACCTATGGCTGTGACCTATCCATTCAGCTGTGTTCCACTGAAGTGTTTTAGAGTACATACTCAGGATCACTCATCAGTTAAGGTGTGACAAATCTATTAAGTGATCTGAACTATGCACTCATCCTTAAGATTGTAAGTACTTTGCTGGATCAGACCCAAGAACCCTAACAACCATGAGCAGCAGGAAGTTGACTGAAAATTGGCCAGCTGTCTACAAGTGGAAAATTGTCTTCTCCCCACTTCTGTACTGGGGGAAAGGGTCAGTGTCAGCCCTGCAACTACTGGCACATTTACAGTATTATAAATACATAGCATAATCTTATAACTCAAGCTGTTTCCAATGGAAATCAAATGCTTAGGAGGCAGCACACTGCTCATTTCACCAGCACAACACAAAGCAAACATGTTAGGCCAGCACTGCAGGGACTTTACAGGATATCTATCCCTTGAGCAGTTTGTCCCTGGGCAATACCATTAGGATGCTCACCTTTTTAACAACCTCCTGCCCCAATTGGGTTCACTTACAGATCATTTTGTCTCCAAAAGGGGACTAATGTGAATATTGTTCAACAAGTTATAACACTGGAATCATCAACAACACCAGGAGTCAAAGGAATTTTAGAGTGCAGAAAAGGCAGGCAAGAAGAAACATCATGACATTCTTAATTATCCTGGTTTTACTTTCGTTGTTCTGCAGCTGACACTACCCTAACCAATACCATTTATTCATGACAAAATCAGTCCTTGGCAGTCCTTTACTTTTATTACATGTGCACCTGCATTCTTTCAATAAAGCTTAAAGCCTCACGTAATAAGCAAAAGAGACTGAGCCGTCTATGCTAAAAAGTTTGATTTTCACCTTGCCCACTGACACTAGTACAATAAAACGTATCACTTTACCAATATTATGTGCCCCCTCTGCCCATCAGGTCAACAGCAACTGCATTCTGTAATAGTGCCATAGCAGCCACATTCTTCAACCTACCTATTTTGAAGTAGCCTTTCCATATGAACGCTCACTGAAGAAGAAAAGACTAATCCTTATCTAAAGAGCTAGAGCTATATTTGATATAGTAGCCTCTTTGTCTTATCTGTCAGACAGCTTCTCAAGTCTGTCAAACTTTTTTTCAGTTTAACCCAAGCAAATGATTCTACTTCCTAAAGTGAGATAGTAATCTACCCTCACTTTCCTCAATGTAACCTAACTGCCTAAAATTATTCATATCCCACACCCATTTCTACTGCACAGAAAGCCCATGGGTAGATTATCACTCATTCGATACCCAAATTACAATAGGTTTTTTAAAAAATTTAAAAATCACTAACCACAAACACAATGCAACCCAAGCATTAAGAGGAGGAACGGTCTGCACGTCACTATTCCTCCCTCAACCCTAGAGTGTTACTTCTCCCAATTTTGCCTTCCTCAAAAGGCTGACAGCACCTCATGCCCATACTTCCTTCTAAACCTTTCTCAAGGGCTCCCTCTTCCCCATAACTCCTCAAAACTTAAATCTGACCTAAAACCCAGCATGGATATGGATAGAGATATAAATAAGAGTGCCTCTGGGCACGTACAATGGAACCTTTGGGATGTTTTGTTTGTTTAGCTGCTTGTGCGTTCACTACCCTGGGCTCCTGTGGGAGAAAGGCAGGATGGGAATTCACTTACTCAAGCAAAACTGCTTCTAAACAGAGGGAGGGTGTGCATGTGTCGTCGTCCTCGACGACCCCCCCCCCCCAATTTGCAATGGGGGTAAGGAGCTTCCAGTAGGGAACTTCAAAACAAATGTAAGCAAAGTGGCCTCTTTCTCTCTCAGGAATGGGATTTCTGTTAGGAAGGGGGGCAGGCTTTTGTTGTGGGGGGAGGGAAACAGAACCTCAGATTTGTATTGATTTTTGTTCACGGGGGGGGCATGTGCCCCCTTGGCTACGCCCGTGCTCTCAGACTGAATTCGAGACAGGGCTGCACTCCGTCTTCCTCGTCAGGCTGAACACAGAATCGTGGAATAGGAAGGTCATCGACCTCCTGGCAATGCCCTTTTGCCCAACGTGGGGCTCGAACCTGCGAGCCTGAGGTTCGGAGCCTCCCGCTCTACGGACCGAGCTGCCCCGCCAGCGGCTGCGAGCGTGTCCCTGAGCCGGTGCAAAGCGCGCCGGGGAGAGACGGAGCAGCCGCCTAGAGCCCCGGCCCCTCTCCGGCGCTCCCCGCCTCAGCCTCCCTCGCCCTTACCTTCCTCCGCCGGAAAACACGGGAACGAACAGCCAGGAGGAGAGAGCGCGGGCGGCCCGACCCTCCTCACCCCGCCGCCTCTCCTGCCGAGCCGCTCTCAGAGCCCACCCCTTCCGCCGCCCTTCCAGGGCCCGCCTCCTCCGAGCTCTGCTTCCGGTGCCGCGCGACATGGCTGCAGTCACGTGAGGAGGGTCGAATCGCCTGGCTTACGATTCCCGCTTTTACGGGCTGCGGAGGCTCGCCAAAGGGGCGCGGCTCCTTTGGTCCGCGCACCGTGTCTTCCGGGATGTTTTCGACACCCTGGTTTCTCCCCCCCCCCACCCCAGCTCCCAGGTGTGTTAGCTTCGTATTGCAGAGGCGGCAGCTGCTGGGAGGCAATGGAAGACAAATCCAGGCGCTTTGAAGATGCCGCCTCGGGGTCCCCCCCGCTCTTTTGTCAACCACCCAAGGGGAAAGTCTGGAAAGAGTGGGGTGAGGGGAAATAATTTGTATTTTTTTTTGTTCTTAGCATTCCCCCCCCATAACAATTAAGGCTGCTGCAGGCAAAGAGCAGGACCGTTGCTCGCTAAGGCGTACAGATAAATAAACAGAATAAAATGTCTTAAGTTCCTCCACCCCATTCTCCCATCCCAGGAATGGAAAGGGGTAAAGAGTTAGTAACGCAGAGCCCCATTTCCGGGTTCTGTTTGAATGCTGCCATTTGCGGGGTACGAGGGGAAGGCTGGAATGGAAAGCAGCCGTAGCCTCACTTCACTGTAATGCATTAGTTTGAGAGAAGAAAAGTGTCGTTAGTGCTTCATTGAGACAGACTTGCTCTTTATCCAAGCACACATACACACCCCACGTTCCTGAGCAAGATCACGGGCTTAAGTCACTCTCTACAACCCCATCCCATAATGTAGAAGAAAAAGTAGCTTCTGCTTTTGTACAGTACTGAATAGGAGGATGGGAGACCATCCGAAAGCTTTCAGTTTTAAATACCTACCGAGCTGGTTCACAACAGCGCCAAACCGCCAAGTTACGATCAGGCCACAAAGAAAAAATACAAGAGAGAGGCATTACACATATTTCTGTAAATCAAGAAAACCGTTAATAAAAATACAACAACAACAACAACAACAAAAGTTTGCCTGCTTGCACCAGCATGTGCTGGGCGCCATGAATAATTTTTATAAAAAAATCCTGATTCAACTTACTCTTACAATGTAAAAACAGCAAGCAACACTTCAAACTCCGCACCTGAATCACATACCAAGCGAGCCCAGCCCAGCTCAGATATCACAATTTGAGCAACTGGCTTGAAAAATTGCCAACCAAAGGACTACAACATCACACAGAATTTTATTGTTTTATCTTTTGTGTAAAGTGTTTGAGGTAGTTTTTAAAAAAAAGAAAATCAAGCTGTGCATTAAATTTTATGAAATACATAAGCAACCAAAACTCCTTGCCAATTTCCCATTGCAGGGGAACATCCAGCCTAATTGAGCTTACAAACCTCATTATGTCAGCCTAACTACACCTGCAGGCTTCCCCATTTGACACACAATGCGGCTTAGCCCAATCACTCCCACCTATCTGTCAACTGCTGTCAGGTGGCATGGCAACAGAAAAAAGTGCCAAATTTTAAAAGTGCTGAAGGCAAGCAGCAAAGGAAGAGGTAGAGTGTGCTCTTGGGTCTTCCATTGCAGCCACAGGCTTAAATTTGAATTGTCTGATCTCATATGATGCCCCACCACCCGTCCAAGGAGAGTGGGCCAGTTCTGAATCTGGCCCTCTTGACTGGATCTAGTTCCTTGGCCCTGCTTTTCCACCAAGTACATAAGAAAAGCATTTCTTCTTATTGTTATAGGTTTGTGGGCGCTTAATGCCTGGGTTTAGTATAAACGTTAGGATTTAATTAGAGCTTGTGTTTTAAAATGGGATGCCAGACCTGTGTGTTTTAAGATGTGTATTAGACCAGTGTTTCCCAACCTTTTTTGGGCAAAGGCACACTTGTTTCATGAAAAAAATCTCGAGGCACACCACCATTATACGGTACCTTCCTGAGCTCAGCTACTGTTAAGGAGCTGCTGATTTAAATCCTCTTTCCTTTAAAAACAACAACCCTAGTTAACTAATTTGTGTACAACTGCCATTGAGGGATGTCCGTGCTGGTTGGGAGTTGGAATCCAACAGAGGGTGTTCCCGCCCCCCCCCGCCCCGCTTCGGAGCAGCGCTCCGAAGCGGGGCGGCTGCGGCAGGTGTTCCCGCGGGGCGGCTGGGGCAGGTGTTCCCGCCCCCCGCCCCGCTTCGGAGCAGCGTTCCGAAGCGGGGCGGCTGGGGCAGGTGTTCCCGCCCCCCCGCCCCGCTTCGGAGCAGCGTTCCGAAGCGGGGCGGCTGGGGCAGGTGTTCCCGCCCCCCCGCCCCGCTTCGGAGCAGCGTTCCGAAGCGGGGCGGCTGGGGCAGGTGTTCCCGCCCCCCCGCCCTGCTTCGGAGCACCGGGAGAAGCGATCTCCCCGCAGCCCCTTGCTTCAAAAGAGGTCCGGGGGCAGCGGGGAAGAAGCGCTGCGCTTCCCGCTGCCCCCGGACCTCTTTTGAAGCAAGGGGCTGCGGGGAGATCGCTTCTCCCCGCAAAACCCTTGCTTCAAAAGAGGTCCGGGGGCAGCGCGAAGCGCTTCCCGCTGTCCCCGGACCTCTTTTGAAGCAAGGGGCGGTGGGGAGAAGCGATCTCGGGCGCCGCGGCGCGCAGGCGCACTGCTCGCTCCTCTTTCCGCGCAGGCGCCTTCTCTCGCTCTTTCGCCTCCTTTTCTTTCTCTCTCGATGGTCCGCCTACAAAGGAGCGAGGGAGGCGCCCGCCATGTTTTGGATTTGCATCCAGCAGGAGATCCCGCCGCCGCCCCGCCTCTCCCGCCTCCCTCCCACGGCACACCAGGCAAGGTCTCACGGCACACTGGTGTGCCGCGGAACACCGGTTGGGAAACACTGTATTAGACTGCTTTTAAACCCTCTGAAATTAGCATGTGTTAAGGGCTAATTAGGCCAAGCTGCTGCTAATTAACTCAGTCTAATTACCTTGGAGGGACAGCTGGTGGCGCTGTGGGTTAAACCACAGAGCCTAGGACTTGCCGATCAGAAGGTCGGCAGTTTGAATCCCCGCGACGGGGTGAGCTCCCGTTGCTCGGTCCCTGCTCCTGCCAACCTAGCAGTTAAAGTGCAAGTAGATAAATAGTTACTGCTCCGGCGGGAAGGTAAACGGCGTTTCCGTGTGCTGCTCTGGTTCGCCAGAAGCATCTTAGTCATGCTGGCCACATGACCCTCAAGCTGTACGTCAGCTCCCTCGGCCAATAAAGCGAGATGAGTGCCGCAACCCCAGATTCAGCCACGACTGGACTTAATGGTCAGGGGTCCCTTTACCTTTAATTACCTTGGAGGGGTTAGCCTGTGGGGCAATGAGGTGTTTTGCACAACAATGTATCAAAGGAATTCACTGTAGAAGGAAAAGAGGCAGGGCCCCTTTGACCCCAGAGATAAAGCCAAGAGTTCAGGGACTGCAATTCAGAGTTAAGTAACAGAGTTAGGAAGCAATGGGTTGTGACTCCAGTGGCATAGAAAGGGGGTGTGCGGGGTGTGCAGACCGCCCTGGGTGTCATCAGTGAGGGGGGTGGCAAAATGGCCAGCCAGCTGGGAGGCGGGTGCGCCGCTTCCCCGGTGTCAGCGCTTGGCTCTGAGAGCGCTGCACACCTGCCTCCCAACACTACCATCCTGAACAGCGGCTGGGAGCCATGGGGGGGGGGTCGAAGCCTGACTCCATCCCACTGGATTTGTGGGGCGGGGGCAAACTTGGAAGCGGAATTTTCCACAGGAAAACACAACACACCCAAGCAGGCGCCCTGCAGCAGCGAGTGTCTTTCAAAACACAAGCAAAGCAACCGAGCTAAGTGACTTTCGTTTACGTCGCGTCCCCACACCGAGCAGCCTTGTAAGGCTGGGATCTGGGGAGGGGGGTGTCAGAAGGGTGCAACAGCCTCCTCTTGGGGCTGGGGTCGACCCAGTGGTGGGGGGGGTGGCTGCGCAATGCCTTTGTTCTCTGCCACTTGCTCCACCCCCTTGCAGGGCAGGTGCTCGCCCCCTTGTGCCCAGAGTGTGTTGGAGTCATGTGTGACTCCTGAGAGGAGTGAAAGGGGGGAGTGGGGGCAAAGAGGAAGGAGCAAGGTTTGAGAATACAGTGGTACCTCGGGTTAAGTACTTAATTCGTTCTTTAGGTCTGTTCTTAACCTGAAACTGTTCTTAACCTGAAGCACCACTTTAGCTAATGGGGCCTCCTGCTGCTGCCGCGCCGCCAGAGCACAATTTCTGTTCTCATCCTGAAGCAAAGTTCTTAACCTGAGGTACTATTTCTGGGTTAGCGGAGTCTGTAACATGAAGCGTCTGTAAACTGAGGTACCACTGTAATGCTTGGGTCTGCTTAAGCAATGGAAGAAGCCAGAACCTCTCAGGCTAATATTTAGGCTCAGCTTGTAAATATATGTGTAAATAAACCATATAGGATAAAGAAAACAACAGCCTCCGCTGTGCCTCATTGCATCCTTAAATTTCCATGCTTAACAAAAGCAACACCAGAGACAATGCTGGAAAGTAAAGTCCCTAGTATTTCAAAATCTGTTGAGGGGCCCTCACCCCCCACACCATAATAACCAAAAGGCCTTCTCCTACGAAACTGAGGTGACACGGTCTTTCTGCGTGCCACATTATGTGAGAGCTAGAGAAATCTGCTGTGCTCATTGAAAGCCATTCAGGCAGCAAAGGCACCAACCACCTCCCTGAAGGTTTCTCCTCCTGTTCTCCCAGTTCCGCTGAAGCCCACTAGATGGCGCACATTACCTTGACGAGAGTCAAGGTTCGTTAACAAGGCCTAAAGAGCTTGTGGCATCTTTAAAAGATTTGTGATACAACCTTAGAGTTGAGGTTTCTGGTCTAGGCCTTTTCTCTAAGTTTAGTGGAATAATGTTCCAAATGCAGGGTCAAGACATTTTGACACCTGATGCCAACCATAAAACAAACCATATAAAGCATCCCAGATTCTGCATTCCTCATTTGAGGCCCTTTTTTTGTGTGCCTCCTCCACATAACATCTGAAGTGTGATAA